AACGAATTGGATAGTCAAACCTGTAAGCCCCGGATGAAATTTCTTCATCTGATATAGTCCTACCGGCATTTGTGAAGATATAGTCTAACGGTTTTGTATCTGCTACTTTTGTTCTTTGTTTTTCAACCTGAAGCATTTCATATATGTAAAAATATATGGTTTTAAAAAATGTTTTACTTCATGCAATGTTTTTATTTCATGCAATGTTTTATTTCTGTGCCGTCTTCAAGTATACCCCAGTACTTACGTTTGGAGAGTACATGAACTTCGGAAAATACCTTGTCTAGCTTAAAAAGGCCCATCTTTTCACCGACCATTCCCATTTCAATGAGTTTGTTGTATCCTTCTTCGTTCGTCATGAGTGCGTCAATGTTCTCGTAGTAAACCTTCACTTTGGATTTGACTTCGGAGAAGAATTTGTTGTAGTTGTCAAGGACTGCTTTTGCGAACTGAGGGTATGACCAATGTTCGACAATAGGTTTTAATGTGGTTACTAAGCCACTTTGACCTTGAGTGAACTCGTACTTCAAAACAAAAGGAGAAAACCTTTCAACAAAGTTGTCGACCTTCTCATAATGTTTACTCTTCATCTTTTGAGGTTTCTTAATGGAATATCCCCATGTCGAATTCATAAGCAGTTTGAGTGTCATTGCAAGCTTGGGGTTTGAAGCTTTCCTAATATCATATAGTTGTTGTATGACCTTTCCAACTGTATAGTTCCTTCCCGGGAACTCACCGTCTTCGTTTGGAATTCCAGTTGGAATATATTGGACAAACCTCATGTACGCAGCGTTAAGGTCGACATAGTATATCTTTTCATATGAGTCAAACTTTTTGCATCCAATCGGTCCAGTTTTTGGAAATTCAAGCGAGTCTCTTATCTTCTGAGAAACTTCTCCTGTTATCTCATAAACATCGTCGAAGCAACCTGTTTCATATAAAACCTTCTGACCCAACTCAGAAGCTCTCCAATACAATTTGACGTCGATTGGATGTCTCAATGGAAGTTTGTTTATAGCATCTTGAAGTTCTTGCAACCTCATTGGAAGTTCTTCTGGTTCAGGTTGGTATCCGAACAATCCAACTCCTTTTGGAACTGTGTACTTCTTTTGTGCTAGAACTTTGTCTGGAACAACTTTTGGTCTCACCAACAATGAAAAGTTTGTTTCGTCTTTTGGTACAAAAGTTTCTGTCAGCTTGTCATCTGGAATTGGTTCCAACAAACCTTTCTCGAAAAGAATGTTAACAGCTCTGACAATGTTGCACTTACCTTTTCCGAACAATGGGTTTGTAAGACTTTCGTTCAACATGAAGTGGTTATGGACAATTGCAATCTTCAACCATGGTAAGTCTTTGTCAACAACATAGTCGTCATGTGAAGAACCTTTCTCAGTCGGAATGTTAACTCGGATATTGACATTTGCCAACGGTGCAATTTTTGTCAATTGACCTCTGAGAAGGTACCTTGTCTTCACACATGACTCAAGATACTTCATTTTCTCATCTGTAACAAGACCGGAGTTCCTGAGACATGTAAGAATGCAAGGTTCATTGACAATTTTTTCAAGTGAATTGTAAATTCCATACCTTGTTAAGTCAATGTCAGACTTATTTCTGAAGGGGAAGTATCCAGCATATTGTCTGACTGCTTGAGGGTTAGGTTGGTACCATTCAAACTTCACGCTTGCAATTCCTTCAATTGCATTCAAAATATCTGAGTCGGAGTCAACCATTTGTTCTCTCTTTGTAGTCTTGAAAGCGTCAAGAAGTTGTGCGGCTGTTGTGACATTGCCATGTGCATAGTAAATATGGCCGTCCAAATCTGTTACGGTTAGTCTGAGATTGTGTCCTTTCTTATTTCCGTCTTGTATGGCAGCAAGTACACCCATGAAGCCTTCTTTGTTCTTTCCTTTGTCAAAGTTTACTGTAAAGGTTCGACCAGATGTAATTTTACTTCTAACTTCACGATACTTTTGATATGCATATCTTGTTCTTTCCATGGGAGCATGTGTGTCTTCACCTTTTCCTTTTTTCCTTCTCAAAGGATACAATTGTTCGTCATGTTTCCAGTAGAATCTGGCAAAGCCGTCGTGTCCTTCAACTTGAGGCTCAGTAACATCGAAAGGTATGTCCATAAGACATTCTTCTTCTAACCTCTCTAGTATGTTTGGATAATTGGCGCGTGCTGTTTCTAAGTCCATTTCGTAGCGAAGACCAGACAATTTGTCATAGACTTTTATGGGTCTTCCCTTCCTATATTTAAAATTCTTCGAAACTCTCCAACCATATCTTTGCAACTCTGCTTTTATTCTAGCAGACCTTCTGTCCATTCTATGTAGGGGCATTTTTTATAAAAATAAAAAAATATACTGTTTTCTTTACTTAACATAACCACCAGCTACCATAAGTCTTTGACGCCAACCCATACCAGCTAATGAAGGTTGACTTGGTTTAGTTTCCAAACTAAACTTTGGTTTTGGTTTATCTTCAGTTTTTGGTTTTTCTTCTTCTATTGGTTTTTCGTCACTTTTCGGTTCTGCTGACTTTACCTCACTTGCAGGAACAGTTGTGTCGTTAACATCTTCATAAATATCATATGCCATTTGTGCTTGTTTTCCTTTCAACTTTTTGTGTTTGTTGTAAAGTTTAGAATATTTCGACTCTAAGTCAATGAGATGTTCTATAATGAACTGTTGGTCAGTGAAGTATACTTTCCCATCTGTTGTCTCGAAAGCTCCTTCAGACTTCAATATTTTATTTGTGAGAGTCTGTTTCTTTTTTGAGATACTAGCCGTTCCATTTTTATGAAAAGTGACTTTGTAGTTGGGGTTTGTATTTCCAGACCTCACACTTTCTATTATTGAATTTTTCTCTTCATCTGTAAGTTCTTTGACAGGTTTTGACAATGGTTCTGAACTTTTTGTTTGTGGTGTCAAATCTACCGTTTCAACTTCTTCGGTCATTTCATCTCAGTAAAAAATTTTAGTTTGGTTTGTTTTCAACTGGTTGTTGAGGTTTTTTAAGTCGGTCTAAAACTTCCTGAGGTATAGGAAGAACTTGACAAACACGTGGTTGTGTAACTGCTGGAAGCCGACAAAGCCATCTTGAACCTATTCTGTTTAAAGCTGCATTGTTCATTTCATCTCAGTAAAAAATTTTACATTCCCCACGTTTGAGGCGGTTGAGGTTGGTTGTTGTTTACCCACTGTTGTGCATGGTTATATCCTCTGTTAAAGAATCTTTCACCTTGGTCCATATAGTGTCCTGCTTGGTTATAGTAGTCATTTGCTTTGTTATAGTAGTTTCCTGCTTGTCTTCCTACATTGTCCATCCATCCTTGAACTTTTCCTCTTGTTTCAGGATTTGGAATAAGATTTGCTGCATCTCGTGCTACATCCCAACCTTTCTGTACAGTTTGTATAATAGGTTGTGCTTTCTCTTTAAGTATACCTAATGTACTCAAAATCTTCCTTCCAACTCCAAATACACCTCTGGCTATTGTTCCCACTGCGGGTAAAAATCTAGATGCGACTCCTGCTAATGCGCCAAATAAACCCATTTCTTATAGGATAAAAATGACGAATCCAAACAAGGACCCCTATGTTTCTAAAGCGACAAAGAAAGCACTCATGGTAAAAATCTTTAGTTCAACACCAAATGCTTGGTTTATGGATATCTTGGAAAACATTCCGAGGTATAGAGAAGATGGACCACCATACTGGCTAATATTTGTCGGTCAGAACACAAGATACTGTGAAGCCATACCATTATGGTCCAAAAATATTTTAGATGTGAAAACTGCTTTGACAATATTCGTTGACAAATACCATCCAACAAAACTGACATCTGACTGTGAAAGTTCTTTCAAATCAGATATTAAAAAACTATCTGCGTTCAAAAAATGTAAACCAATATTTCATTGTCGACCAAAACCATTCTGCTCTTGGTGTCATTGACGGTTGTATAAAAATGTTAAGAGACTTAAACCAACCACAAGGTGGTGAGGTAGATGAAATGTCATATGACGACAATATAGACATTTCTCCATGGCAAAGATGAGACAAGTTTTAAATATTTACAATAGCCGTAAACAAAAAGGTTTGGGAAACCACTCCCCCGAAGAAATGAAAAACAACCCTGACTTAGAGAAAGACTATATATTTAACAATTTAGTCAAAAGAGACAAACAAGAAAGAATGCCGGGCTTCAAACTTCAGAAAGGAGACAAAGTAAAAATAGAAATACCTAAACGCGACCCATATGAAAATACTATTGACTATGACAACAATGGGAACCCGACAGGTACTCACGTTCGTGTTCGTAAAAATAGAAGAAAGTATACAAGAGAATATTATGAAGTTTTAGGCAAACATGGCAAAATGTACAGACTGCAAGCAGAAGATAAAACGACTATTGTCAGACCTCGTTTCAAACTTGTCAAAGTTCAAGGTGGTATACTTTCAAAGACAGTTCCTAACAAATATAAGACAACTCCTGACGAATATGCTAAAGAAGTTGAAAATGACGACTAAGCAATTCTATACCATGCACAAACTGTCATGTAAGGTGGCATGTATTTTTTACCTCGTCCTGTAGATGTTGTTGTAAAAGTATGTTGGTGGTTTCCAGTTGTATCTGTCCACATTCCATTCCAGTCTACTGGGTCGTTTGGAAAATTAGATCTTGACATAACTTGAATTTGCATTGAAGTCTGAGAAACAGTGTTATATCCTTGTTTGCAAACCCTATGACTATGGTTTCCATTAGAACTTGTTGTACCAGAATGACTATGTGGTGGCAAGTTGTCGACAGATATCCTTTTGCTTCCACCTGTTTCCTTTGGAGTGTTTGCACAATACAAAAACCTTTCGAGTATTTGTTCCCATGCACCAACACCAAACATTGCTTGAGGACCTCTTTCATCCATAGATGTATAAATAGAACCTACTGGGTTCATTAAATCAAACATATGAGATATTATAGGATTGTCTCTTTTGAACTTAAGATATAGTGCAACTATTTCAGGTTTCTTCTGGTTTGTGTCAGAATATTTTTTATAATATAATCTTATGTTTTCAGGGTAGGTAAAGTCTTGACTATAATATTTATTTCTGTCATCTTCATAATAGTATACTATTCTCGTTTTTTCTATTGCATTATATCTTTTATATCTATAATATTCTAAATATAATGTTTGCTTTTTTGGGTCTACATGCGGTGTTTTGTCGTCATCTCCATACTTATAATAATATGGTGTTGGAGCTGGGTCAGGCAATGTCATATCTGCCATTTCATAAACTCTTAAATATTTCTTTTGTTCGTCTCCATATAAGTTTAAGTAGCAGTTGTTGTCTAATGGAACTTTAACTTGTGTACCATCGTTCTTTATATAGCTTACATACATTTCATTGTTATTTTTCGGAATGAGTTTATACCGTATACCATTTTTTAAGGAATGTACAAACTCCCATCTAAAATATTTGTTTTCTTCATAGATAGAAAAGTCACCAACAATAGTTTCAATATTTTTTGTTGTTCCAACTAAACTTTGGTATATTTCATTGACATATGTTTTATCTGCTTTCTTCTCTAACTCACTAGCCACATATGTTTTATCTGCTTTTGTCTCTAACTCACTAGCCACATATGTTTTATCTGCTTTCTTCTCTAACTCACTAGCCACATATGTTTTATCTGCTTTCTTTTCAACATCCTCTTTCGTTGCATAAGCTTTGTTAGCTCTTTCTTCTTCTTTTGCTATTGCATCGTCTACATACTCTTTGTCAGCTTTGTTGTCAACATCTGCTTTCAAAAGAAGTTCTTTTATAGGTTTCTCGTTTAAGGTTCCTTTTGTTGGATTTATACAAACAGTATGGTTCTTGTTGTCTTGAAATAGAAACTCATCTGTCATTGGGTTTAATGTCAGTTTTAAGCTTCCTTCTTTCAATGACTCAGATATCTTAGAATAGTTTGAAAAGTTTGTTGTGTTCTTATTTAGAGCTTGCACAATGAGTTGTCGGTTGTGTTGTATTTCTCTCATAGACGCTGTTTCTTTCGACATTTTTATTCTAGATAAAAAATGCTTCCAATAGAAAAAGAAACTTCTAGAGTTGCTACAACTAAACCATTAGATGAACTTTTTACGAATGTCGGTCAAAAGTTTGAGACAGAGACCGTAAAGCATGAAGGCTATCGTTTTGACTACCCGTTAAGATGGCTAAGAGACCCATCCGTCACAAAAGCTATTGGCTTTCGTAGAATGAAGTTCATTTCAGAAGCCATACATGGTTTCCCATTTACGGTCGGTTTTGTAGTTCGATACTATAACAAAGAAAAACGTACGTATGAGAAATTTGAACAGGGAAAACTTTTACAAGTGAATTTGCTTGTAAACTTAGAAACAACTCTTCAAGCTTTTCAAGAAAAAATAAACGATATCTATCTCGAATATGCAAACCAGTTTAACATTGACGAAGGAGAGTACCATCTCGATATTATATATGACAGGAAAAATGCAACTGTTAAAATCAATAGAATAGAAGACCTTGGAGAAAACGTTTATATTTCTACAAAATATAACAACTTGGCATGGTATAGGTTTTTGAGGATGTTAAATCAGCCTGCAGAATATCCAGTACACCCGGACTTTTATGAAGTCGAAAACCCTAATGGAACATATGAAAATGTTTTCGACTCAGATGCTATTATAGTTCATGCTTCATTTTCTGGTGCACAAAACTCTTTTTTATGCTTGGCAAATGACTTTTACGAAAAACCTACAAAGCTATATGAACCACCGAGTGGAAGTATTTCAGATTTTCAAGTATGGTTTACTACAGATGGAAGAAAAAGAATAGTTCCATTATACCATGCGTTTTACTTAGAACTTAGTTTCATATACAACTACTATCGAACGGTAAAAATATAATTTTTTAATACGGTTGAGGTGTTGGATTTGGTTGCCAACTTGACTGTGGTGCAGGTTCAGGCTGTTGTATAACAGGAGCTTGTTCTTCTGGTTCAGGGTCTTTAGGTATAATACCAACGAACTGACCTACTCTTTTACCAATATTTTTGACACCGTTCCAAATTCCTCTTCCGACAGATTTTATTCCATTCCATATACCTCTTCCAACATTTCGAAAGAAGTTTCCAATACTACTGAAGAAACCCATTTTACTATATGTAAAAATCTAATGTCCGCCTAGTCTCTTACGTTTCCTGTTGAGTTCCATAGCATTCTTTAACTGGAGCTCATACATTCTATTTCTCCTCTGGTAGAAAACATACTCTGGGTCAACTCCTGTGTTCGCGTCATCTGCATAGAGTTGTTTATATCCCACTTCAGGGTTTGTATAAAACTCTTTCCATCTCATATTTGCATACCATGGTGGCAAACCTAACGCAGCGTCATTTGACATGGCAGTTTGCATTTGTACATCTGTTGGCACTTGACCATAGTTTGCCATTGCAGTTTGTATTCTAACTTCATTTGGAATATTCTCTGGGTTTGGTTGTCCAGGTTGCTGTGCATTCGCTAAGTTCTGTGCGTCCATTTAATATTAGATAAAAATATCTCTTACGAGTACATATACTGAACATTTGCAGGCAATGGTTCATCTTCATATTCTCTGTACTTTTCTGCCACGTCAAATAAGTAAATGACACAATGGAAAAAACCTAAAACAAGTAGTCCTATTTCAAACCACATTTACCTACCAATAAAATTTCTTTGTTATGACACTTTTTCCGGTTTATAGGACCTCTCTCATATTCTATCTTATCGTAAATAAACTCATAGTCATGTATGTCCTCTAACCATCTCATAACGGTTTCCAAACCACTTTTATCGGATGTAAAGTAAAAGCATGGATGGTTATGTAAAACGTCTAAAGTTTCTAAAGAGTCTCTCAAAGTCCAGTCTACTTGGTATTGAAAATCGTATGTGTTATAGAACGGCGGGTCTACTATAAAGAAAACATTTTCCTTGTTTTTATATTTTTCATACAACTCTGTCCAATGACATCTCACAAACTCTATACCCTCAATATATTTTTCTATGTCCTCTTTGAAAACCTTTGTATAGTTAAGATATAAAACGTTTGACATAAGTGTTTCAATGTCATGAACTCTTATAGAACCACTATATAATAGTCTAGCAGATATACTATCCCAGTCAATATACTCTGCTTTTTCAAAACCTCTCTGACAATATTTTTCTTATCTAATGGTATACGTTCCATCTTACTATAGGTATCTTTTTTCTTCAACTCACTCAATATTTTGTTTGTGTCTGGTATATGTTTGAGACGGTTCATATAGTTGTCGAAGTCATTGCATATAATCTTTGAGTCAGGAAATACAGTATGGCACAAATGGGATATATAGAAACTTCCACCGAACAAATCTACAAATGTTAGACCATTCGGTAGTTTCTTAAGTTCTCTCAATAGAATATCTTTACATCTTCTTATTTCCAAAGAAGGGTAACGGTGGTTTTGTAAAATTCATTTTATATATATAATAAAAATGTTTTTTCCTGAAAAATGACAGAAAAGGCTTCTCAAAGTATACTTTTTGAACGCCCGTAACTTTACTGTAGCGACGATAGACCCTTACTTGTCCGGACATAGTTTATACTATTTTGAGTCCTCTACCGAAAAGTCAACAGCAACGACTTCAAAATTTTTAAGGGCTAGAAGGGGCGCAGCCCCTGGAAGCCCGACAACACCCAAAAACCTCATTTTATACCTCATTGCACTAAACATCTTTGGGGCTAGAGGGCACGAAGTGCCTGGAGGCCCACTACCTTTTTTTTTTTTTTTTTTTTTTTTTGCCTCGGTTTTGATCATTAATTTACAAAGAACTTTAGTGTTGGAATTCGTTTAAACCATTTATCCTTAATATTTGTTATAATTCAATATCTGGAATTAATTCCAAATTTTTGCATTTTCAATTAATTTATTATCAAATGCAAAAGCATGGGTTTAATATTATGTTTACCTTTATAATATAAACTTTCTACATAATCAATCGAAATAAACATCTATTGTTTTAACATTTTCAAGAATTGGTGAAAGCATCATTAATTGATTGACGGTTACGAATCTTGATCCATCTCATTTTCTTACGAATTAAAAAAATAAATTATTCATAAGTTATATATTAATTTAATAAATTATATTATCATTTATAATAAAATTTTTTCAAAATGCAGATAAATTTTAACATGTTCGAAATGAAACTATTATTGTTGCATGCTAAGTTCGGTCAACGATAGGAATTGAGGGGAAATTAATCGTCGAGGAAGTACGATTATGTAAAGTAAAAAATGTTGTGGGATTTTTAATATTGTATATAATTTTATAATAAAATTTTTGTGAGACATTTTAAGAAGCACATATAATTTTTGAATTTAAAAATTAAAGTAGTGTTGAATGAATTTATTGATTAATTTAATACGGATATTTCTCAAAATTAATCAAAAATAGGTTTTCAGAGAACTTTTGAGATATCTTTTCAAAATGTCTTTTTGAAAATATATAAGTATTATATCAAATTGAAAAAAGGTATTTATCAAAATTCTAAATTCTTAATAAAAAATAACTTTTCAGAGGATTGTGATTTTGAAAGCATGAGTAATAAGTAAAAAATATCTACGATTTTAATGAGGAATTGTTCCTTATGAGGTATACATTATAACTATATACCTCATAAGGAACAATTCCCTCTTGATAGCTGGGAAACTTTCTCTGAATAACTTATCATTTGGAGAAAGTTTCCCAGCTATCTATTAGAAACTAAAGGCTGTGAGGCACTAATATATAATCAGTGCCTCATAGCCTTTAGTTTCTTATTAAAAACGAGAAAACTTGTTCGAAATGATAAACAATTTCGAACAAGTTTTCTCGTTTTAAGGAGGGAATTGTTCCTTATGAGGTATACAGTATGAATATATACCTCATAAGGAACAATTCCCTCTTGATAGCTGGGAAACTTTCTCTGAATAACTTATCATTTGGACAGAAAAAGTGACACTTTACATGGCAAAAAATAGAGCCTTACTTTTGAGATACTTGAGATTGAAACTGAATCTTATGAGGCGGTGATCTTGAATCACTACCTCATAAGGTTCAGTTTCATATAAAATTTGTTGCAATTTGTTATTCTTTTGCAATTATTTCTTATAAGATTTTACATCTTTTAGCGGGGAATGTTTGTTATCATGTATATATTATAAATATCTACACGATAACGAACATTCCTCGCTAAATTGCTGAGAAACTTTGAGGAAATGTCGAACAATTTCCTCAAAGTTTCTCAGATTTATATAGATCACTAGAGTCCCCTAGGCACTGATTCTGGTTCAGTACCTAGGAGGCTCTAGTTCTCTAACGAACTGATAAAATGTTTTTAAATTTTTGGATATTGCTACCTGTGAAGCACTGACTTCAAGTCAGTACCTCACAGGTAGCAATTACATTGAAAGATGGGAGAAACTTTGTCCGAATGTTAAACTATTCGGACAAAGTTTCTCACATTTGTAGTGGAGATGGAAGATTTTGAGGTATATTGTATTAATATATACCCCAAAGCCTTCCATCTCCACTTGAAAGTGTCCAAACTTTGGGTTAATACTTTGCAATTAACCCAAAGTTTGGACACTTTCTCGGAGGAATTGGAGGGTAAGAGATATACATTCATATGGTATATCTCTTACCCTCCAATTCCTTCTTAAAATGGGAGAAACTTTGTCCGAATGTTAAACTATTCGGACAAAGTTTCTCCCATTTTTTTGAAGGAATTGGAGGCTATGAGATACTGATGCAATGTCAGTAACTCATGGCTTCCAATTCCTTCCTAAAACTCATAAAAGTGGACATTACATGCATATAAAATTTGACATGTAAAGTCCACTTTTTGTGAGCGGGGATTTGACTCCGTCAAATCCCCTTTTTCGTTTACGAGAAAGCCAAATTCTCTCAAAAAGTTAAGTAGGACCAATTTTTTATAAAAAAATCCAATTTCATTATGAATGTTAATTAATTTATATAATTATTGAATAAAAAATTTTCTTTGAGATTATGAAAAGTTCTTTGAAAAGTTATTTTTTCTCATTTTTAAATATTGTATTAGCCTATTTATTTATAATCCAAATTAAATAACTTTAAATTCAATATTTAAAGAATAATTTTGAAGGAATTGAGTTACTTCCCCCGACGATAAAATTGAGAGGTTTACGTTTTGACCGAACTTAGCATGCAACATTATAAAATATATTCTTTTATTGATGGTAATATAGGAATTGTAGGAATAAAAACTTTTTATAAATTATTCATAAATTTTTAAAATCTGCTATTCAGAAGTATGTTCAAAAATCATTAGTTTCTAATTTCTTTTTCTCGTTTATGAGGTCTTTGATTATGACTTCATTGATTCCATTCAGTTATTCAAAAATAATTAATTATCGAATAACCCATGATGTTGTCAAAATGTCATGTTGTCACATTTTTTTATTTCATTATGTATGGGCTGAGTGTAAATGTCTTACAATTTTGAAAATTTTTTAAATCTTGATTTAGTAGTATATGTTGACGGGTTTTGTGACTTTTTTTGTAAACGTAAGAATTCATACATTTTTGAGCGATTTTGTATCATTTTTTTTACATATGAAGTAAAAAATGTATGATTTTTACGGTTTTTATTCTTACGTTTTTGAATAAATCAAGATTTAAAAATTTTCAGAATCGTAAGAAATTTTCACTAAACCCATACATAATGAAATAAAAAAAAATAAAAAAAATAAAAAAATAAACTTTAAAAATTCATGTCTTACATTTTTTGAATAATTTATTTTTTTAATTCGTATGAAAATGAGTGGATCAAGATTCGTAACCGTCAATCAATTAATGGATGTTCTTTCACCAATTCTTGAAAATGTTAAACAAGTAGATGTTTATTTCGATGATTATGTAGAAAGTATATATATTATAAAGGTAAGTTTAATATTAAACCTATTGCTTTTGCATTTGATAATAAATTAATTGAAAATGCAAAAATTTGGGAATTAATTCCAGATATTGAATTTATAACAAATATTAATGATAAATGGTTTAAACGAATTCCAACCACAAAAGTTCTTTGTAAATTAATGATCAAAACTGAGGAAAAAGAATTTAACGGGTTTAAATATCATCCAAATAAAGTTTCAGAACTAGAAAATGAAAAACTTCAGAAAAAATTAAACGATAGACTTTCAAATGATCGTATTGAAAAAATAAATAAACTAGCAGAAGTTGCATTTAATAATGAAATATTTGATGAATATAACCTTGAACTCAGTGATGGACTTTAAGTCCTGGGCTTTAAGGACCCAGGCTCAACGAGTTATGATTTATGAAAGCAATAATTTGATTTATTCGCTCTTCAATCTCTTCTATTCTTTTTGTTAAATCATCTATTTTCATTAATGAGGTGATTCTTGATTGAGGAATAGATTTTAAACTAACAACACCTTTTATTTTTGAAATTTTGAATCCATGACCCTCCGGGTCTTGGACTCTGTCCTCAACTTTAAACATTTTATTCAATTTACATGTTGTCAATTCTTCAAATAATTTTTTATTATTAGCATAATAATCATTAAATTCTTCAACAGATGAAAAAATTTTTATTTCAGTAATTGGTTTAACAACGTTTATTTTTTGTTGAACATTTTCACTTTCATTTATTTCTTCCTCCTCTGTTTCATTTATTTTTAAAATCGGTTTCATTTATCATTAAATAAAAAATTAGAATATAAGTGATGAAATATATTTTTTAATTAATATTAAATCAGAAATGGCGGCAGGATTCTTTAAAAAATTATGGGATGGAATTAAGAAAGCTGCAGGTTGGGTTTATAAAAAGGTTATTAAACCTGTTGCTAACTTTTTGGCACCAGTAGCGAAAACGGCAGGAACTATCATAGGTGGAGTATTAGGTACTAAAGCAGGTAATCCGGCGATGGGAGCACAAGCAGGTAACGCAATTGGTGGAATAGCTGAAGGAATACTTAATAAAATAGGTGGTTAGTGGAAAAATAAATAAATATTATTTTTATCTTAGTATCGGTTGAAGTCTTTGATAAACTTTTTCTCCTTTATTTAAAATTTCTCTTATTGGGGCAGCTTTTGGCGTTATTGATTCAACAACGTCACTAATTGCTTCTTTATTCTTAAATATCCAATTTGCTCCTTTCTTAATCCCTTCCCAAACTTTATGCGCTCCTCTTTTTACTTTATCCCACAGTTTCTTAAAGAATCCTGCATCCATAGTTGATTATTTCATTAAAATTAAAAATTCATTTTCATCTTTTAATTTTGATTTTTTATTTAATAATAAATGACGACTAACTATTTAGTGCCAAACACAAAACCGATTAATGGAAATGTGTTTCATTCATTCGAAAAGATAAATGAAATATTCGCAAAGAATGACGGAAGAAGATATTATAGAGAACTTGAAAGTTCATGTTATGACTCTGATACTCCATATTTTGATGATAAACAAACTCATTTAAGAATTACAAATTCAGCTCATGATGTGAACCAATTAGGTGACACATATATTAAACGCAAAGTTAAAGCAACTCTAGTTTCAAATAAAGCTTTCACATGTGATACCGCTTTTAAATGCATGCGTTTATTCGTTGGTTACAAATCATCAAATCAAAGCTTTAAGCAATTAGAAGTAGAAACCGAAAGAGGTGATGCTGGTTATCTTCAGATGGATTGCGCCCGTGAATCTTTCGCATTTGCAACATATAAACCAAAATCAGAAAGGAAAGTTAAAAAGTTTGTTCATTCGTTATATAATAATGTTCAAAAATATGATAACTCAGTATGTGGTAAATATATTGACCCTTCAGAAGTTTTCAAGAAAGCAAATGAAGAAGTTGATGTCACTTTTGATATGATTATTCCGGTAAATGATTTGTTAGCATTTCAGGCGTTCGATGATTATCCTAAATCATTTGGTGAAATCATTCTTAAATATTATGTTTTCAGGGATACTTTAGTATTTTGTCAGGTTGACCCGTTAAGAGTTGCTGATTTACAAAATTACGTTTATGAAAAGATAACTGATGAAAATTATGAAAAGATTATGAATCATGTTTATAAATATGATCGCAAATTCCAACAAATCGGACTTCCTGCCAAATTAATTACAAGCTTAGCCGCTACATCTGCTGACGCAACAGTTGAAGACGTTATTATTTCATGCACAAAGATGGAAGTTTTAGAGGATAAATGCATTACACCAGGATACGGTTTAATTGAAGAATCAGTTAAAGCAATACCACGTTTATTTAGTAAGGAAGATCCATTCATGATTCCAGCTCAACATATTGACGTTCGTTCACTAAATGGAGGTTGCATCACTCCTGAAGGTATCAGCTCAGATTTCTCATACGCTCTTCATAATGTTACAGATGTTGTGTTAACATTTCCGAAGAATGCAATGCAAAGAACGGTTTTAGAAAATCCAATGCTTCGAGGTCTTCAGGTCACTATAGATTCCAGAAACTTCCCCGATCAAGCGATGACCACAGTGGGTGACATATTCTTTACACGTATGCTTCAAGCTTCTGATTTAGATGGAGTGAATGAATGCACGGAAGAATACGAGGACTCATTAACTAGACCACTGAATGATGATGATGGCACACCATTAGCTAGAACATGGAAAGACCAAACTTCATTCTTATGCACTATTCCAGTTCAACGTGATGGAGCGGGTATATTCTTTGATGGATTAGAAACTTTCAACTCACAAGTTACAGTACAAGTGAAAGCTTATCCAATCATTCAGGGTGAAAATGACACTTACTGTTCAAAAGTGACAAATCCTCCTCAGGTTTGGTTTACTAGGACTACATATTGGACATGGACACCGGATGAAGGTTTGAAATATCATCCAACAGGTACACCACCGCAGTATAGAAGTTCATATGATGAAATATTGATGAATAGAAATGTTTAAAATTATAAATTTATTTTTGATTAAATGGATTTAAATTCATCCACCCCTTATGAAGAATTAGCAGGAGTATATAATACATACGTAGATGATATGATTAATGAAGCATTGAGTGATAATAGAAATGCTCTATCTAAGGAAAAATTAATGAAAATTCCATATTCTGAATGTTACTTAAATTCAATCACTGCAGCAATTGGTAAACAAAATAAAGGTAAAACATTAACGATATTAAAACAAATTATCATTATTGCTAACACTTCACCCTATTCACATGTGTTAATTTATATCAACCGTTCAGGTTCACCTTCAGATGATACATTTGAATCTTTAAAGCATTTAATCAAAATTCCAATTATTTATTTATCACAAGAAGAAGCAGAAGATTATTTAAAAAACTTTGTAATGTATAAAGAATTATATAATACAATCAAGAAGCAAGGATTAGAGGATAAAATTATTGATAAACAACGGGATGAATTATTTGAAACACTTTCTATTTCAAATTTTGATAGAGAATTTTTGCATTCACTCATTTTTCTAGATGATGCGGTGAAATCAAAACTAATAACTAATGAGAAATCATATTTTAATCAATTATTAACTCAATGTCGACACATTCAGTGTTCATTCTTCATGGCTGTTCAATACTTTAAAGCATTAAGCACAAACATTAAATCAAACCTGTCCACCCTTTTCATTTTCAGTGGTTTTAGTCGTCAACAGTTGAACGTTATGCTTTATCAAGTGAATTTACCAATGAGCATTAATGAACTTTACACACAATATCAACAATTAGGAGAACATGGAAAAATAATAGTTGATTTAAATAAAGGTTCCATTAAATTCGAATAACTTTTTATAATTAATTTTTATTTTTTATTTATAATTAAACATGACAGAAATTGCAAATCTTCTACAGGTTCCATTAAAACAAGGAACAAACAAAAAGGGTGCATATAATAGAACTATGAAAGTTCCAGACGGAATGAAAGAATTAGTCCACATTGTTGCCGGTCTTCAAAAGGATGTTAAACAAATGAGAAACGTTTTAACATTACCAGAAGCTCAAGCATATGCCAAACGTCACGGACCAAATTGGGAAGCACACGAAGCAGACATTACGGGTCCAAATGGAAAACCTGATGGAATAAATGAAGTTTTCGTTACTGATGGTCAAGGAAATATTAAAGTCATAAATGGGTATAAATTAACAATGACGGATTATCCTAAACGTAAAGCATATAATGAACATTATCCTATGCAATTTGATGAAAATGGAAAAGCTGTTAAACAATACATTGGAGAAGGTGAAAATGGTCCAATTAATTCATACCGTCATAATCCATATTCTTACTTCAATGAAGAATTAAATGCTATTGAAGAGGGACCGGATGGATTACCACGATATTCTAACCAGTTTGATGGTCAATATGCAAATTTAAGACCTGAAATTCCAGCTAAGAAATTCTTTAAAGTTGCTTTATTCGATCCAGTTTTCGCAAATGTTAAAGATGAACTTAAACAGCAATTCCAACCAATTATAGTAGCAAGAATTGCATCAGGTGCTTTATCTCAAGCATTCAAAGATTTAATTAAGAAACCATTATATCAGCAACGAGGTTTAACTTATGATTTAGTTAAGGAATCAGATAAAAGAAAATTTGAGAAATCAATGATTATAAGAATGCAATTAATGAATATATTCGGTCTATTAATTTCGATGAAAATGCTAAAAATCAACTTCATGAACAAATACAGGAAATAATAGATTCAAAAGTTCCAGCAAAATAAAAGTTTAAATATATTTTTTTATTCGAATATAAATGAGAAGACGTTTCACTAGTCAAAAGAACACTAACGCAAAAGCAGAGATTACGGTTGGTTATAACGTAAATGATGATAAATCACGAATTATTCAAAATGTTAAAGTTAATGTTAGTCCTGAATTAACAAGGTCAGCAACTCAACCAAATTTATTAACTCGTGACTTACCGAAGAATGAGGAAGAGAAAATAAAGAGATGGAGACCCAATCATTTTATCTGAACCTGGTAAAGAACCTGTTGAAATTCCCACTTATCCAACATACCCAGACCACTTGAACCCAGGAATCTACGATTACAGTCGCAATGCGCCATATAAAATAGACATTAATTCTGAATTAATGAAAATTTACCGTGATATCATAACTGATAATTATGATTCAATAATAAATTTAATTGACCAATCCGGTTTAATTATTTTACCTTATGAATCATTAATTCACATTATCGCCATTCTTTGTGATGTTCAAGATTCAGACGTGAAGATTCAATTTTTCATAGATGATGAGGTTTCATGCTGCGGAACAGTTGCAAAAATAAATCCTATAAAGGATATTAGCACAATTAAGATATCAAAGAACGGAACAACAACTGAACTTCATTTAACATATAATGATATTTATAATAAAATAGTTGATGAATATAAAATATCACTTGAAAAATTCTTTGTTAAGGCTATTTAATATTCAAGCATTAACATTATCGAATAATAATCCTTTGAATCATAATCGATAATAATTGACCTTTCACCAGTTTCTATCGTTTGTTTTATTTCTTTTTGTTCCCCACTATCCGGATCGGTCATTGTAATTGTTTTTGTTATAGTATCAGCTTTATCTTTAACTTCAATCTTTTTTCCATCGGGATATTTAAACCAAAATTCCAAAAATTCGATATTGTCAATCTGTTCATATTTTAATCTATCAATTACATTTTTAATACCATCTGAAAATCTTATGAAATGGTCATTATATGGGTTTGATTGAACTAAATTTGAATGAAGTGAAATATAACCTGATGATGAATATGACATCGACTCATATTTTCTGAAAACACTAAAATTTATAACATGAATGAATTTCTTATTCGTTGAATTTATGAATTCTTGAGGTAATCTTATTCTAGTTTTATTTATCACTGGAAAATAACGCTTTACCATATTTTTAATCGTAATAAAAAAATGTCAATTATCAATATTATTTCGAATAATAACTGTGAATTAAATTTAACAGTTAGCGGAATTTATAATGTTACTCTCGTTTCTGTGAGTGGTAAATTTAATCCCATTCTTTTAGACCCTTCAGATTATATATCATTTATTAAAGATGACCATGAGCCGCATAGCGGCGGGGTCGTAGACCTAAAAACGTATGATATGTATATAAATAATGTGATAACGAAATGGGATATTAACATGATTTTAAGTTATTTAAATGAATCATTTATCGTATGGTATGAAGAAAATTTTAAATCAAAACCTGATAAACTTTTTGAACTTGATGAAATAAATAACCTTATTAAATTTCCGCTGAAAATTAAATTTTGTACTCCTCGTCTTCGTTCATTGTTGGGGATATTAAATTTTGAAAAAGATGTTGGGGATGTTTTGTATTCTGACACTGGTTCTAATTTCATTTTAATCAAATGTGATAAAGTTAATACCCCAATGAGATTTTCACATCAAACATTAGACCCTAACTCTTACCCATCAATACAAAACATTTTATCCATCAACTTAAACATATTTTCTTTATCATATCCGTTTCAATTATCCGGGAATTCATTTATTCTTCATTCAAAAGATTTATCAAATATTAAATTTAGAATAACTGACCTATTTGATTGTGATTTAGAATTTATGAATGAAATATTATGGCAATTTCAAATAGAAAAAATAGCTGATGAGATAACAGATTAAATATTTATTTTTAAATCGTAATAAATGATTAAACAACAGCAACCACAGACCATTACATACGCCATATATGCATATAATTCAAAGACGGCAGAACAAACGCAAATGTTGAAATATGGAGATTTGGAGATAGTATTGAAAAATGACCATTTCGAATTCGTTTGCAAAGGTGGTGCAGTGATATCAAATATAAAAGAAATTTTATTTATGAATTCAAAAATTAAAGGAATAACGGATGATATAACATCAATTCCACCAGAAGAACAAAGATATTACGCATTAAATGCATTTCCTAAAGTTTTGAAGATTGGAAGATTTAATTTAAATGAGGAATTCATAAAAGGTTTCCTAAATGACATAATGAAGAAGGCAAATTTGGTTTATGTTGATGAAAAGATAATGAAATTATAGAAAGGGTTGATAGTGAATTAATGAAGAAAGCAAATTTGGTTTATGTTGATGAAAAAGATAATGAAATTATAGAAAGGGTTGAATGGTATCATGAACGGACATCAAAGATTTTAAAAACTAAAGCTGATACAGGATGGGTTTCAGGATGTTTAGACCTTAAAGCAGATAAGGAATATGTTAACGATGAGTTAAATAAGAAGGCAGATAAGGAATATGTTAACGATGAGTTAGGGAAGAAGGCAGATAAGGAATATGTTAACGATGAGTTAAATAAGAAGGCAGATAAAACATATGTTAACGATGAGTTAGGGAAGAAGGCAGATAAGGAATATGTTAACGATGAGTTAGGGAAGAAGGCAGATAAGGAATATGTTAACGAAATATACCAAAGTTTGATAGGAACAAAAAATATTGAAACTATTGT